TCGGACGTACGTAAGGGGGGGGTGGGGGTGATGGTTGGGGGGCAGTCCAAAGCTAGAGGGCATACATTTAAGGCGAGAGTGGAAAGATCCAAAAAAGACCTGAGGGGTGACTTTTCACGCACAAGGTGGTGTGTGTACGGAACAAGCTGCCAGAGGAAGTGGCGGAGGCAGGCACAATTACTAAATTTGAAAGGCATTTGGATAGGTATATGAATAGGAAGGATTTAGAGGGATAAGAGCCAAATGCTTGGAATTGAGACTAGGTCAGATTGGGATGTCCAGTCAATGCAGATGAGTTGGAGTGAAGGATCTGTTTCCATGCTGTATGACTCTAAGTTGACCTAAAAGTATATTGTAAATAAGCTCAGTTAATGTTGAATTCCTAGGTCAGTACAGGACTTCTTTCAAAATTTTCAAATAAACTACAGAACTTGACATTGAAAAAAAACAAGGTAGAACTCTCCACTATAGTGCCATTACTACTAAACTGGAAGCTGTCTGTAAAGTTTAGACATCATGTTAAACATCTGTGACATATCAAAAGACAACTATTGACTGCTAATAGATTAGATTCTCCTCACTTCTTTATTGTCAACAGTTTTTAAAAGGAACCAAATATCCAAAAAGAGAGGTCATTAAATACGTGTGAACTGTCCTACTGAAGCATGAACCCTTTAAATGATGCTTGACATGACGACCATTTCTTACAATTTATTTCCAACACTGGTTGCAGATACAGGTATCTGACCTAAAAAGGCATCCTTTCTGATCAATGGAGAAATGTCAGGCACTCATCAAACAGGATCCTTCACTATCAATCATTCACACACACAGGAATCAAGTTTCAACCCACCAATGCAACAACAGTGTCACCTAGATAACGAAGTAGAAGATTTGAATTTAAAATCAAAGGTGTTCAAATTGCATGCATAGATAAGTATTATGAAAGTTAAAAACAGAATACTATTCAATAGGAAAACATTGATGACCAGTGCAAACAAATTGTGAAACTTCTCAGATTATTACATGAAATTCATATACACAGGACGATGGTATGATAATTCAATTCAAGTTCAACTTTATTTTGCACTTAATGTATGCATTATGGACCCTGTTCAACTATTTCAAATACATGTCAAATATTTTCCAAACACCAATTGATGTGCTCTGGCCTACCCTCCCTACCTTGAAACAGATTTAAAGTTTTTTTTAAACACAACTGGGGCATGCTGGATATAGTGTTCAGTCTTGCCTTTGGATGCTCGAAAAAAGACATGCTAGTGTGAGCAGGTAGTTCTCAAAGCTGTAGTTAGTTTACATAATTATCACTTCCCTGGTTATAAAACTCATACAGACAAGGAAACTGTGTTGTCTTTATAATGGCTTATCCAGATGTGCAACTTGCATCGAGTGTTCAGCTGTCAAATAATTTAGTTACCAGAACCCTCTACACTCTGATCAAATGAATGTGCGTCTGCTCCTTTTCAATATTATCATTCCCTAACCTAGCCCTGCTGACTCCCATAAACTGATCAGAGGTGACATGTTTGTCCATTGCTACTATGACTCAGTAAATTGACTCACTATTGCTAACTCCCTTACCGGGCATTAGGTCTCGTTTGATGACCTTCCCACTTCAACGCTTTGATTTTTCACTTTTAATTTCCCTTTTCTCAAAGCATTGTCGCTTTTAATCCATAATATTCTTCATTAAAGGATCAATATCCCTGCAAGGTGCCTCTTAGTCCGTGTTAGATTCTTTAGAAGCGACTGTTTTCTGCCGGTAGTAAGAGAAGGGAGAGTCATGTGCGAAGCTCTGAGCCTGACAATTTCAAACCCTGCCGGACACACTCTCCATTCATCCCCCTCTGGATCTAGCATCTCCTCTGCTCGCTCAGCAGCTAATGTAGGGTATATGTTGTGAGCCCAGGAGAGCGGGATCGGACTGTGCCTTCCCCGCCCGGTTGCCCGGCGTGTGCAGACTAGGCCCAGCCTCACACTCACAGTGAGTCAGCAGCGTTAGCTCACCAGCGCCTCTTGCCCCGGGCCTCCCGAAGCCTCTTGTAAAGCCACCGAGCAGCCGCAGAGCCGCCGCTCTCACTCACCGATACTGTGCAGGATGTCTATAGACGCGTTCCGGTCGGTGCTGACTAAAGACTGAGCGCGCTGGAACTCCACTAATGCCGCCGCCACCGCCATCTTTTTCTTCCCTCTCACCGACAATCACATCAACTCCGTCCGCGCCCCGCCCCCACCGCACCGCGAAACCTTGCCCAGTCCCCTACACCGCTCCGCCCACTCAGCATCTGATTGACAGCACCGCCAGCCATTTCACCATCCTGCCGTTGATGTCATCGCGCACCCTTCGCCAATTGACACCAATGAAGGGCGGGACGGACAGGCACTTCCGGCTAGTGGAGTAGGTTACACGGCAGCCGATGCAATGACGACACACGTTTGGAGCATGCGTAATCCGTTTGGGTGGGGCTGTGGGTAATGTAGTTTTATTCACTGAACACAGACCGGAATTTATAACAGCATTGGAGAAGAGAGACAAATTGGGGCTTATTGTTTCCTGATCTTTGTACTATTAATGATCCTGCATATTGCATTGCCTTTCATTCACCTCTGTACTGATTCATTGTTTAAATTTCAAACCTGAGCAAAAAGGCAGGTTTACACTCTTACATTTAACTCTTTGGCAGCTTGCTTAAGTCAAGAATCAAGGATGAAATACGGACTATATGACCTGTCTGTACAGCACGACTGCCAACACGCTGGGAATTTCCGGGAATCTCCTTGAAGTAGAAATTAATTTCCTGGACAAAAACAAAGTTGCTGGAAAAGTTCAGCACGGAAGTTCTGAGGAAGGATCACCGGACCCGAAACGTTAACTCTGTTTTTTTCCTTCACAGATGCTGCCAGACCTGCTGAGCTTTTCCAGCAACTTTGTTTTTGTTCCTGATTTACAGCATCCGCAGTTTTTTCGGTTTTCAATTTCCTGGACACACTGTAAGCCAACGAAGAACAAAATCATCTGGTATTTAAAACAATTCTGGGTACTTTGACTTACTGAACAGTTTTTTTTGAATAAAGAAACAAAAACAACAGGATTCTGGAAATTTCAAAACAGAAATGGCACAAATTTTCAATAGGTCAGAGTGTATTTGTGGAGGGAGAAACAAAATTACATTTCAGAAAGATGCCCTTTCAGAACTGGAGCAAATGATAGATATGTTTTCTGCAAGTCCAAACCACTACGAGTGTAACTTTGGAGTACAGTGGAGTACTGTCCACTTACTTGGATATGTGTAGCTCCAACATTCAAAAAACTCAAAAATTAATGAAGACAAAGCAACCTGCTTGATTAGTACACTACTCACTAAGCATTCAGTCCCTCTCTCACCAGTGTAGAGTGATGCAGCTGTATGTATCATCTGTGCACTTCTGACATTCAGTCAGACTCCTTCAATAGCACCGACCAAACCCATGACCTCCATAATTTAAAGCAATGAGGGCAACAGGCCTATAGGAATGCCTCCATCTGCAAACTTCCCTCTAAATCAAACACCATCCTTACTTAGAACTAAAAGCAAACTACGTTAGATGCAAGTTCTGAAAAATCCAGCGGGTCTGGTGGTGTCAATGTAAAGACTGAGTTTAAACTTTGAGGCCAATATGGTTTTTCTTTGGAACTATGTCACTGTCCCTGTACTATCATTGTGTCAAAATCCTTGAACTCTCTGACAGCATTGTGGGTTTACAACTAGGTCTGGAGTGGTTCAGCAGGGCATCTCACCACCATCTTCTCAAGAGCCATAAGGGAGGGGCAATATATTACAGCCTTGCACTCTCACATTCTATGAATGAGTTTGTTTTAAAAAGTCAGGGGGAGGACAGAGAAGAGGAAAGAACAAAAGGCGAGATTAGTGATAGGGCAGAAATGTTGCAATCTCATTAGAGACCGAAACAGCAGCCAAGTCAATGTAATTATGCCTTATAAGTGGAGACCACAACATTTTAATGTCTCCAAGCCTGTTTCTTTTGATGTTGACCAGTAAAGGAAAATGACCACCTGATAACAAGGGATTACAAGCAACTAATTTTGTGACCGGCTGAAAATCACTTCAAAGGAATCTGGCAATGCACCTGCTAAATAACTCCAAATGCTGAATCCACCTAGACCAAGTTTCAGGATTGAAAATTCCTTCCTCAAAGGACCTGCAATGTATGTTTTCTTTTCTCAAGGCAAGCCAAATCACACAATTTACAATCTCTTCCTTTCTTAACAGACTGAAACCCACATTATCCTCTTTCACTGTATTTTTCCTCAAGTATCTGCTTGTGAGAGTGGTAGGTGAATAATATAACATTAAGATTTTATGAGTAAATGTGAATAAACTATCCTCTTTGTTTGAATCCATGAGAAGTTTGCTGTTCATTAATCAAATTTACCAAACACTCAAGCTCTCACTAACTTGATTGAGTTTTTTGAAGATGTGACAAAGATTGATGAAGACAGAGCAGTGGACATTGTCTATATGGACTTCAATAAGGCATTCAACAAGGTTCTGCATGGTAGACTGGTTAGCGAGGTTAGATCACATGGGATACAGGGAGAACTGGTCATTTGGACACAAAATTGGCTTGAAGGTAGGAGCCAGAGGGTGGTGGTGGAGGGTTACTTTTCAGACCAGAGGCCTGTAACCAGCAGTGTACTGCAAGGATCGGTGCTGGGTCCATTGCTTTTTGTCATTTATATAAATGATTTGGATGTGAATTTGGAGGTATAGTTAGTAAGTTGACAAATGTCACCAAAATTGGTGGTGTAGTAGACAGGGAAGAAGGTTACCTCAGAGGACCTTGATCAGATGGGCAAATAGGCCAAGGAGTGGCAGCTAGAGTTTAATCTAGATAAATGTGACAGGCTGCATTATGGTATGGCAAATCAAAGCAGGACTTATATGCTTAATTGTAAGGTCATGGGAAGTGTTTCTGCATAAAGAGACTTTGGGGTGCAGGTTCATAGTTCCTTGAAAGTGGAGTTGCAGGTAGACAGGGTAGTTTGGAAGGCATTTGATACACTTGCTTTTATCGGTCAATGGGAGTTGGGATGTCATGTTGTGGCTGTACATTGGTAAGGCCACTTTTGGAATGCTGCATTCATTTCTGATCTTCCTATAGGAAAGGTGTTGTGAAACTTGAAAGGGTTCACAAAAGATGTACAAGGATGTTGCTGGTGTTGGAGGGTTTGAGCTATACGGAGAGGCTGAAAAGGCCTATTTTCCCCTCGAGAGTCAGAGGCTGAGGGGTGACCTTATAGACGTTTATTAAATCTTGAAGGGTGTGGCTAGGGTGTATAATCAATGGCTCTTCCACAGGGTAGTACAGTCCAAAACTAAAGGACATAGGTTTAAGGTGCGAGGGGAAAGGTTTAAAAGGGACCTAAGGGGCAACTTTTGCATGCAGAGGGTGGTGTGTGTATGGAATGAGCTGCCAGAGGAGGTGGTGGAGGCTGTTACAATTACAACATTTAAAAGGCATCTGGATGGGTATATGAACAGGAGGGGTTTAGAAGAATATGGGCCAAATGCTGATAAATGGGACCAGATTAATTTAGAATATCTGGTTGGTGTGGACGAGTTGAACCGATGGGCCTGTTTCCGTGCTGTACATCTCTATGACTCTATGACTCTGAGTATTAAGGAACACACAAATCTCCCTCTTAAAATATACACTGATTATAGGCCATAAAAAAAGCAAAAGTTCAGTTTATTTTATTCACTGCTGCGATGGAGTGTCGCTGGCCAGGCCAGGTTTTACTGTCCATCCCTTTTTGCCCTCGACAAGTTGATGGTGAACTTCCTTTTTGAACTGCTACAGTCTATGTGCTACCATACAGGGAGGGAATTCCAGGATTTTGATCCAGCGACATGAAGGAATGGCAATATATTTCCAAGTCAGTGTGGTGATTGGCTTGGAGGGAAATTACAGGTGATGGTGTTCCCATGTATCTGCTGCCCTTGTTCTTCTCGATGGAAGTGGTGGTGAGTTTGGAAGATGCTGCCTAGGGATTTTTGATGAATTTCTGCAGGGCATCTTGTAGATACAATGCTCTGCTGCTACTGAGAATTCATGGTGGAGAGAATGGATCTTTGTGAAAGTGATGCCAATCAAGTGGGCTCTCTACCCTGGATTATGTCATCTTCTTGAATGTTGTTGGAACTGCACTCATCCAGGCAAGTGATGAGTATTCCATCACACTCTTCTCTTGTGTCTTGCAGATGGTGGACAGGCTTTGGTGAATCAGGAAGTGAGTCGCCACAGAATACCTAACCTCTGACCTGCTCTTGGAGCCACTGTAATCCTGAAACTTCCTCCAGTGGTCCCAAGCATTACAGATAGCAGTCTTCAACAAATCTGATCCACTCCACCTGATATCAAAAAATCATTGGAGACACTGGATCCTGCAAAGACTATAGGCCCTGACAACATTCTGGCAATAATACTGAAGACCTGAGCTCCAGAACTTGCTGCTTCCCAACCCAAGCTTTTCCAGTACAGTTACAACATTGTCATCTACTCAATAATGTGGAAAATTTCCCAGATATGTTCTGTACACAAAAATCAGAACAAATCCAATCTGGCCAATTCATACCCCATCAGTTTAGTCTCCATCGTTAATAAAGTGACAGAAGGTGTCATTAATAGTGCTATAAAGCAGCATCTACTCAGCAATAACATGCTCAGTGATACCCATTTACATTCTGTCAAGGCCACTCAGCTCCTGACCTCATTACAGCCTTGGTTCAAACATGGACAAAAGAGCTGAATTCCAGATGTGAGGTGAGAGTGACACTCCTTGATATCAAGGCCACATTCGACAGAGTGTGGAATGAATGAATAAATTATTTATTGTCAGGGAGACACTGTGAAAAGTGTTCTGTCACCACCATCAGCATCATTTTGAGGTACAAAAGAATAAAGAAAAATACTTAAATCCAACTCATCTTCATTGGCCAGGGTCCCAAACATGGCTTCAGGACTTCTGTAAGGTCTCCACTCAGGGTCTACCGCTGCCAGGAGCCCCCGCTAGCAAAAGTGGAATCAATGGATGTCAGGGCAAACTCTATGCTGATTGGAGTCATCCCTGGCACATAGGAAGGTGGCTCTGGCACTTGGAAGTCAGTCATGTGAGCTCCAGGACATCTCTGCAGGAGTTCCTCATGGTAGTGTTCTAGGCCCAACCATCTTCAGCTGCTTCA